CGATTTCGCCACAAATTTTCCACCAAATAGATGTGAAATTGGTCACGATTTCCTGACTGAAGAGCCTCAGTTATAAATGCATAACCGTTTCATACCACTATCCGTGTTTCGAGTGCTGTAAAGCAGTAGGTATTAATCACATGGTTTTTAGGTAATTTTATCTGAAGAAACATTTTCGCACGCGCCCTCCTTTGGTGCTCTCGATTTGGGCTTCTAGCGAGAAACTCAGTCCATTACAAACGTACCAACTGTTTTCCAACCCAAAGGCATTTTGTCAACGTTGTACTTGACACCACAACGTCTGCCTAATTAGGCTGTTTGGGCGTAACCCTATCATTAAAATTTAACCACTTTAAAGTTGGAAAGCGAAGCACGCTTGCTTGTGTCATCGGTAAGGTAGTCGAGAAGCCTAAGTCTTGATTGTTGAGGAGAGTTCTTGATTGCTGCCTAATGGAAATTTTAACGAATAAGTGCCTGGTCTGACTGAAAATTCCCACAGGTTTCTTTCGTTTACGTAGTGCAATCGCAGTTTTGTGTCCTGGGTTTAAGAATTCTAGTCAACAAAGCTTGGGTCCCAAAAGAAACTGTATAACATTAAATTATCCTTTCCCCGCTGCTGCTCCAGCGCACTGTAAATCTTTAAAAAAAATCAAATTAGTCGAACATACGATTTCTATTATTAATCATCAGACCCGCACTGTAATATAATGTACGGCCAGAGCAGAAAAAAGTTGAACATCCAACAAAAGTCAGTTTGGGGTAAAGGGTTTAGAGGCGTCCAGAGGTCACGCGTCAGGTTCTAGCTGCCTCTGGGGCTTAAATTGGTCCAATGTCTTAACAACCGAGTTAGGAGAATATGCACTCCAGATAGGTTGAATAATAAACTCGCCACCATAAGAAACACTCTGAGAGAAAACGGTCACTCCGAAAAGTCTGTTAACAAGTACACGGAAAAACGCCCTCCAAAATCTAATGTGTCAACGGCTGAGAGGAAGGAATTATTTCTTAGACTGCCATCTTTTGGGGCATCCGGCGAGCAAACATGTACATCGTCGCTTAAACGCTGCTATCACGCGCATGTACATTTTCCTTAGGATAAAACTGTTCTTCACAAGCACGTCGCTTCTTCGCCTTTAAGTTTGGGAGCGACCGCCTTCGCAAACCTCTTCAATTTGCATTTACACCTTTAATTGATGCCGTGGGGGAAGATATATTGGTCGAACAATAAGGCGTCTATCCAGGCGGACGCGAGAGAACCATTCTGCCTGGCTAAACGAAGGTTAAGAACAGTCCATCTTTAGCGCAATTGTGACTCACTTGGCTGACAGCGGCCATCCAGTAGGCGTCAACCAAGCGTTCCGAGTCATATACAAGGTGTCAGCGAGACAATTCAAGTTCCTGCGTTAGTAAATACTTACGAGGCAGAGATAGCAGTCATACGGTTAGCCACCCGAACCTTGTGCTTGCATGAAGCGTTTTTACAAGCGCTGCGGCACCCTTCGACAAATACAAGCCCAGTATATGTGTTCACACCCGCCAAGTCGAGTTATAGCGACGAAACCGGGACAACTAATTGCCAGACAACTTCTCCTTTCTCCCTTAGCCCCTGACCCATGGACGTCCCTCACATATCTACCCTAAAGTGACTTTTATTGGATATTTAACTTTTGCTATTTTGCTCCTACTTATATGATTGTTTTATGCCTGATGATAAAGAATCTAAAGCGTACGTTTGCCGGACTTGATTTCTTGGATGACTACATAGGTATAATCGCTGACCGTTGAATAGATGTCATAAGCAAGGCCAATTAGTGCTCACAAAGTAGCTTATTTCTATTTTGGATTTTTTTGAGGATCTTCTAGGAAAAGTCCTCCTTTGTTTCGCAAGTCTAGAAAATAATTTTCTCATAGAAGCTTTGATTAGTTCAAAGCCCTCCTCAGCCGTACGTTCAGGTCTCTGAGCGTTGAAAAAGAGTTTTACATAAAAGAGTGAAATATAATCGGCCTCTCTGAAATTCACACCCTTGTGGTTACTTCTTAATGCAGGCATAATTACATCACCGACAAAGGCAAGGGAAACTAGAAAGGTCACTTCTGACTTACTAACCTGCGTCAGCCAGCCATATCCAACCCCGAGGTGTGGAATACCTGAAGCTCGATCTCTCGACCGGTTAGTTAGAGGTCCAACGCTCCTTACCACTGAGACATGGGGTCGTTGTCTTGTCGGTTGCAATCGGGAGCTCTCTGATCGTATCATGGAACTCACTCGTCCCAGTGTGTCTGTTATTGGGTATCGACCGTGAAAATTACACTTCTGAATATCTGTCCACCACATTTATTTCCTTCGACCATAATGGTTTAACCAACACCTAGCTATCTACCCTGCGAGTAATAGAGTAAACATATTGTCACCATGCTTATTTTTACGAAGACGCAGGCCATAAAACCACCGAGGAAGAAAATTCGACATCTTGTAAACGGGATGAAAACGGAGATTTACTCCTATTAATATTGTACAAAGTGCAATCACAGTTGCGTATGGTTATGGAGGTTCAGTTCAATGCTTAAAATAATCAGGTTTTAGCAGGAGCTGTACAGCTTTGAGATGTATGCGCTCACATGAGATGAGATTACTGGAGGTAGCTTTCGGTGGTACCATCCTCGCAGGCAATATAAACAGTAGTGACCAATGTAGTTTGAGCAGTGTTGACCATTGCCGTGTTCATGGGGCCTACCACAGTCGAAGGGTTGACTTCAGTCTTTAAGTTCCCTTTCATGGTAGAGATCAAATGTCCGAGTCAAGCAGTCGTTATTACTTTGCACTTGAGCCAGTCATCACCAAAACTCAATTGGCTGTTTTCTCATACATCCCTGCCCCCTAGTCAAGGCGGTTATTTTTGATACTAATGAGCTTACAGTACGTGGGCTAACTCATTAAATGTCAACCGGAATTCCGAAATTCCTTTTCGTCTTAAAAAGCGTTATTAAGTGGAGTTGTAAAACTAACCATCATGCAGCGTAATTCTATAGTAATTCAGATGCAAAATGATGCCGACTTTCGAACGAATGCCTTTTTGTCTGCATGAAAAAGCTATAATCCGTAAAAAATTACTAGTTATGTAGCATTCATTTTTCGCATTGATTTTCGATGTCCTTAATTATTCAGTTATAGTTAATGGAAAACATGCATCAAGATATTTATTCTTCTGCCCATTCGGCAGAAAATTGCGTCTTTTTCCAACTTGATGCACAAAAGAGAAATGTTATTCGGTCTTAAAAATTTTATTTTTATGGGATTTTTAATACAGTGAAATGGCCGTTCATAAAGCCGCGTGTTTCTGCATTTACCAATGTGGCTTTTAAAGTTAACAATATGGCTCAAATCCATTGCCAACTTTTATGAACCACATATAGTCTCCTCTTAATACCGTAAAGAAATGTATAGTTTTCCGTACGCGGAAAATATACGGCTTGTAGTTTGGCAACCCTGAATGCAAGTGTAACGGAAGTTCGGGTACAAACCATTCGGGAATCGGAAACGTCTTTTAAAATTAAATTATACCCTTCCTTTGAGAATAAAATTGAAAGAAGACGTTATTTTCTGCCGAAATAGCAAACAAATAAATATCTTTATGCATGTTTTCCATGAAATATGACTGAATAATGAAGGGCGTCGAAAATCAATGAGAAAAATACATGCTGCCTAAGCTGTCATTTTTCGCGGATTTTAGTTTTTGCTTGCAGACGGAATGAAGTTCGCACGAGACCCGGCATTTCGCGGTAACTGAATTATCGTAGAGTTATGCTGTATGATGATTGGTTTTACAACCATACATAATAAATTTTTTCGAAACGAAAACAATTTTTGGAATTTCGGTTGACATTTCACGAGTTAGCGCACCTACTCTCTCCGTAGGGGGCCCAATTTGATTGAAAGAGGCCTGTTGCACGAGTCCGCTGAGGAGCCGTTTTCACTCGAGAGACAGTGTTTTCATTTACCATGCCAGTGCGCTTGATGTCATCTTTTTAAGCACGTCAGATACGCTATAGCGAGAAATGTTTTGACGATTCATTTGCCAGTTTCCGCTCTACTCTCCCCCACATACACCAGTCGGCTGACCGAGCTTACTGAACAATAGCAAATTGAAGGTCCCTAACCGGCTTCCAATGTATATGGTCAGTTCTGAAGTTCAGAATTGATGTAAATTCGCATATTTAGAATACGGACTAACCAGAACTACAAACTTTAGAAATCGAATTTTTTTCGGGGACTTCTTTTAATAAGCGGAACTAGGCAACAAGTTCAAACAAAGTCACTCGCACTTATGAGCTGGGTCATAGCAGAAATTTACGGATGCGGTTTTTGTAAACCCAACACATATAAGGTGAGCAGATATAAACATACAGAAGTGGTTATTCATCCAAAAGGTTAAACTTACATAAATGCGTGTGACGATAGTCGAAATATCGATTCCTCCGTTTATTTGCGCGACCCATATATCATATAATATCATTTTAAGAATCTAATACTCGGTAGAATGACAAAGCACTATTTTCTGGGGCCTTCTATGTCCTTTTTTCCACAAAAACTTTCCTCTAAGATTTAAAAATACGAATGTACACTAGTACAGTGTCGTCATACCCTCTAAAGAGCATTTAATGTTTCAAACAGGATGGGCTCTATGAATAGTCATGTTACTATCTGCCACAAATAAATTTTTAAGTGATTATTTGCTCTGGACTTCCTGCCACAAGCAGACAGCCGAGTCCTTTTAACAACTTAACCGGAATGCTCCGAAATCCGGAAGAGGCCAAAATAAATAATTTTACGCATCATGGGTTTTTTTTTCAGGTTGAACATCCTGACGGTGGACCAGCGGACACCTATAACCATCCACTTCACCGTGGATGTCGTGAAATGGCCAGCCAAACTCTTCTCATTCTCACGCCGGCCAAATTGGTTCCCGGGGGCGAGCGCTATTCACAACCACCGAGTTAGGATGCGACTCAAGTTCGTCAACCAATTCGCCCACGTTACACGACACTCGGCGCAGAAATGGCCATTGGCACCGCTCCATGCTTCCCTTCTCTATCGATGGAAATTGGTCACCAGTCTGGACAAGTATCTTCGACCGAGTTGTGAAGCCAACTGCGGCATGGATATCATGCTTCTGGAGATTTCTGAACAGGGTAGGATCTTTGAGCATTTGGATTTCGTATACATATGCAATCGCATGATACGCAATCGGTTAGATGGTAGTTGGTAGCCCTCCCGGTGCCGGAAACGCCCAGCTACCTGTCTTACGGGACCGGTGGTAATAGGGGTTGTACGGGTGGGGCAAATGAGTGGAGGCGTAAATGGTGTTGGTAGTGTATGCCTGGAATTGACGCTCCTGCTAAAGTGAAAGTTTAAGTTTAATAAGGTGAAAAATGCAAGAAGGGTACAGAAATGAGCATGGTTAATTAGAACGGTATGCGTAATAAATGCAGCCTTACTCCAGATTGGAAAGAATAGCAACTGAAGGTGAGCAACCAACGGGAAGAAGTCAGTGTGTCTTGAGGTCATTCCGCAGTATGTGCGATAGTACTCAAACCGACAGAATGGACATGAGATCACGAAAATCAAGCAGCGGCACGCAGGACGGCATAACGCAAAGGGGGTAAGACTTTAATGCCAAGAATATGTTTAAGCGGAAGAAAAAAACCACAAATAATAGTTTATTGCCACTGTGGCCACACTTAGAATTAAAACTATGGCAGTAGTTGTGTGCGATACGTTAGTGGAGAATCGGTAGACACCCTATCTGCACGACGGTTGTCCTTTTCGTACACGATCACGCCGGACTCTGCAGGAGGTCTGGAGTTAAAAGACCCAAGAACGCAGGCAAACGGACAAAACGGAGACCCGCGCCAATCCGCCTAGGATGGTAATGAGAAGCATAATGAATCATAATCCGCCTGGGATAAATCTTTCGCCATTTACTAAAGTTTTGCGTGTGGGGGGTGCAAAACGATGAATCTATATAGGCATTTTTGCAGCGCCTCGTTCTCGGGGAAGTTAAAGTGAACAAGAAAGTCACCCTGACAGGGCTTCTGCGCGTGCACTCCCAGACATATTGAGAACGTAATCACAGCTACTGAAATCATAGTGCCTTAAACTGGAAGTGCCGGAAGGGATCGCTAACTGGCAGGGCTACCAACTACCATCCCGCCACGCAATCTTATAAATTATGTTTTCAATTTCTAAAAGACTTTCTTAGGTCGTGTTGCCATGCCGAGTAGCATGTTGCGAAATGTTGGGATATTATAGTTGCAACAGGATGCCAACTTTAGAATACGTTTCTTTTTGACTACTTGCAAAAACGACATTTAATAAGAATAGCTATTTAACTCGCATGTTTTATTTCTGTTGATTCTTGATAACATTTCAAATGCGAATATATTTTGACGACGTTTGGTCCACCAGCCCCACACTTTTAAAAAAAAGTTTTAGTTAACATACCAAACTTAGCCACCTGCTAAATTAGGAAAGGGAAGAGTGCGCAAGCAGAGCTCAAAGAATACGCAAAGAAGTGTGTGTGAATTAATGCCTGGTGTAACCGAAGGTGGTGTGCACACATTCACTCGCCGGACTAAGGGGATAAGAAAAAAGCATTCACAACTGGGAGTCCATGGATGGAACCGCGTGTCAGTTTGCAGCATCTATCCACCATAGGGGATCCGATGGAATTCCAATCCGTCCAAAAATGCCATTAGCAAACGTACTTAACCACTCGCCGGGTTAAGATAATAAAGAGGACGCAAGTAGGGTTCGAAACACTCGTAGGGAAGCGCGCGTAAACCGATACTTGGTATAACTGGGGCTTGCTTATAAAGGATTTACCCGCGAGGCACAGACATTCGCCAAACTAAAATAGTAAGGAAAACGTAAACACGTGATACGTGTACATTCAATGTAGTTGCGCATACTAAAAGTCTCTTAAGAAGCTATTTGTAGGGTATTAATCAAGAGGAGATGTATAAACAAATCTCGCTTATATTTTACATAAACTATGCCCGAAAATAATCGTTCTTTACTTATTTGGTAGCAAATGACGTCTTCGTCAAATTTCATACCTAAGGAAAATGTATAGTTCGGCTTTAAACTTTTCTCAATTCTAGAATAATTTTGAATATGACTTGCCGTTACACATACATTTAGGGTTTTTATATCAGAAGTCGTATAGTTTCCGTGCGTTGAAGAATCAAACACTGTTGAGTTAGTCAGAAGAAGTTACATGGGACCCGGAAACTTTCGCAGTGGATGTGGACCAAATAATATTAATAAATATGATGACACGACACTGCATGATTAAATATTTCACGATCAGGAAAGTTCTCCTGTTTTGAAACCTTTTTAAATCCGAAAAATATGCCTTCTGAAAATAAAAAAAATTGGGTAAATACGTAATTTTCTACCAAGTGTGTTAAAGAAACAATATTTATTCATATTTTTATAAGATATATTTGATTTTTTAAAGGCTAGGCAAAATTCATGAGAGAAATTTATGCGGACGATAAACATCTTACTTAAAATCGACATTCTATCGTGACTGAAATATCCTAATATTATACGTTATCATGCTTAATACGACAAGTGAAGACGTCAATGTAGACGAGAGCGTTATATGCACCTATTTGTTACACGCGTTCTCTTAGTTATATATACGGTAGGTAGGCTTACGCATGAAATGTCAATCAAAATTCCAAATGCGTTTTGGCTTCGAAAATTTTAATTAGGTAGGGTTGTAAAAATAGTCAGCCTGCAACATAATTCTATTGTATTAGAGTTATCTCAGGATGCCGGCTTTCGAATGGACGTCCTTTCGGCTGCGTGCAAAAACTACACTCCAAAAAAGGATTACTTATATAGCATGAATTTCTGTCGTTGATTTTCGATGCCTCTAAAAGTCCACTTATATTTCATGGAAAACGTAAATCGAAATATTTATTTTTTCACTCATTTGGTATAACATTACATCTTTTTCCAATTTTGTGCTCGAAAAATGGACATAATTCGGTTTTAAGAAAGATTCTTACTGTGGGACTTCTTAATACCATGAAATGTTCGTTCATAAATCGTCATGTCTCTGCATTTGCCAATGTGTCATGTAAAGTTAACAATTTGGATCAAATCCCCTACTTACTTCTATGAGCCCTATATGATCTCTCTTTAGTACTGTAGAGGAATGTGTGGTTTTGCGTAAGCGAAAAATATGCGGCTTGTAGCTTGAAAACCCCGAATCCAAGTGTAATGGTAGACGGGCTCAAAATTATTCGGAAAGTGGAAACGTTATTGAAAAGCGAACGATACCCTTGCTGAGAGTATACGATTGAAAGAAGACTTCATTACCTACCGAATGAGAAAAGAAGGACTATGTAGGCAGAATGGTATTACCGACAAAGGCAAGGGAGACTGGAATGGCCATTTCCGGCTTATTAGCCGTCGTAGGCCAGCCCTACCCAAGCCCGAAGTGTGGAGTACCCGAGCCTCGAACTCGCGACCTGTTGGTTTAGAAGTCCACGCCTCTACCCACCGGGTCACGAGCCCGTTGCCCTGTCGGTTTTCGATCGGGAATATACAATGATAGGGGGCGCTCTCCGATCGTTTATACGGAACTCACTCGTTCCGTTGTCCATTAAGGGCGAAAAGAAGTTTATTTGCCTGAATTTTTGAATTTTTGCTCAAACTCATATTCAGAATAAGGGTGGTGGTAATACAGTGAGTGACCGATCTCATGAAATGTTGGTTGAAATTCTGAAATACATTTTCGATTAAGAAGGATTACTGAATTATCTTGCGACATAATCTTATAACATTTCGGACACGTCAAGATGTCAGCTTTAGAATACAATGCTTTTCAATCTCCTGTAGAAACCGCTCTCGGTCCACAGTGACAACCTAAGTAGCATGCATTTTTCCCATTGATTGTTGATGGCCTTGCAAATTCAAATATATTTTATAGAAACTATAAACAAAGATATGCTTTTTTTCAGTCACTTGATGGCGAAGCACGTTTTCGTCATATGTTATGCTTAAAGAAGGAGAATAATTTGGTTTTAAAAAGTTTCTAATTATGAGATTTTTAAGACCGCGCAATGTCCATCCACATAGCCTCGTACCTGGCCGTTTACTACAGCTCCTCATGAAGTGTACAACACAGTGCGCATCCATTGCAAAATTTTATAGATTCTGTATGATATCTTTTTAATGGCATAGAAAAATACGTGATTTTCTTTATGCGAAACGCATCCACCTTGTAGACTGAAATCACTAAGCGCTAATGCAACGAATGAGCAAGCTCCAAATTATTCGGCGGTTAGAAATCCTTTTTTGAAACCTAATTATACTCCTTCTTTAAGCATAAAATTTGAAGAAGACGTGATGCGACATTAAGTGAATGAAAGAAAGCATATCTTTGTTTATGGTTTCTACAAGATATATTTGAATTTGGAAGACCATCAAAAATAAATGGGAAAAATGCATGCTGCATAAGTAGTCGCTTTGTACCGAGTACGGTTTCTACAGAAGATTGCAAAACAGTGTATTTAAAAGCTGACATCCAGCTGAGTCTGAAATGTTAAAAGATTATGCTGCAAGATAATAAGTATTACAACCGCGATCAAGTAATCCTTTCTAATCGAAAACGCATTTCAGAATTTCCGCCAACGTTTCATGAGATCGGTCACCCACTCTACATAAACGTGTAATACTGCATCTCTTACGTTCCAGTTTTACTCATCTGTCTGATGAAGAGTGCTAGCGCCCAGCCGAGGCTTCAGAAAAAAATAAGTTGATAACGATAGGGTGTAGGACCCCCAGGTAGATGGCAATTGCAAAAAAATACCTTAAAATTCACTGTAACTGTAAACATTACTTGTTATTCACCGTTCCCATTGTTTGAAATTTATCTTCCTTCCTGACTAAAGGCAAGCCAACCAGCGCGTTTTATTCAGAATCCGCTATTCTTTAAAAAAATTGCTTATTGTTCTCGTTTTAATTATCGCATTCATTTCTTTGTTAAATAACAATGCTCGATATGACTTTCGGCGGAGGCCACTCGTAAAACCGCCGCTACCACCATACATCGTATTGCATGGTCTACGGGCTAGTTCAAGTGAGTTGGGAGTTCTACAGCCTGTCGTTGTCCAAACTATTTTTCCGCGGACCTCAGTTTCGAGTGCATAATAGAAACGTCCTAGAGCACCTAAGCCCTCATCGCAGAAACGCAGGAAAATTTTCAGCTATCAAATAATAACTGAATCCGCTGCCGTGTGCGTCAACTGATAGTCTGCGCAGTTAACCTCCAGCAGGCATGAGGGAAAGTTACTTGTTCCTTAGATGTGCATAGATCGACGGCAGATCTTGCGGGGTTTAAACTAAAAGCCCCGAGTTGGGACATTAACCTCCTAGGTTAATCAATCATAGAAAGTTAAGGACCTTAGTTTATATATGTTCTCTTGATATGAAGGCTTTCACTGCTCTGAAGGTTGTCGACGTAATTCAGTAATTCTGCCTCCGCCAGATTTTTTTGCTTCTCCATTTCTCCTCCAATCGTCTTTCCCTCCGCGATTTTGCAGGCCTAACGGACCTGGAAGCAAGCTGGGCACAACTGTCCCTCCTAAGTGAGGGCATCCGCATGACAGAGCCCTATCCACTGCGAGACGGACTGGGCAATGGTTCTGCGGCAGTTGTCTGTCCCCTGAGGCGCCTTGAGGCCTTCCAACGCAGTCTCCTTAAGGCACCCCTCAGTCCTCGCTATCCCAACTTGCTGACGCCCCCAACTCAGTCATCACCCTTCCTAACAACCAATGACCTGCGCCCCGCGCCCTGGGCCTTGCCGTCGCAAGACTTCAAGAAACATCTGGAAGTCAGTGGTCTCGGCTCCCTTGAGGTGGTGGCGGTAGACCTGGCTGGACACTGTCTAATCTCCTCATGGGCTGGCAGAGAGGGGGGATCGGCTTCGCCACTGTTCAGGCCGCTGCTCAACTTCACAACCTACATTGGTAAGCAACAATGAGCTGCAGTTTTGCGTGGGTGTACTCATCGAGGATTGGAGAGAGGCTACTACTGTGGACGAAGTCTTACAATCAAAAACTGATAAAGGGGCGAGGTATTCTGACTCAGATTGGCAAAGTTGAGGGATGCAGTTAATTATTTGAGTAAGAGGATGGGCTCACCGGGACGCGTTTTTATAGATGTTGACGCTTCGAAGAACTCAGTCGGCTCTGCATTTTCAAAGCGTAAAATACACTTAATCGACTAGAAATCTTAAGTGGCATGTCACGTTGGTCAGCCTCGTGCTGATCGACTTCCTTCTCTCTTTTCGCTGCCTCGGCCTCTCGCGGGATGGTTGAAGGGCGTTTTGTCTGCGTGTTTTGTGAGTCACAACTCCGTCGGGGTGAGCGGATTGAATCTTTGTCGGATGGTCGTTCTGGCTGTTCTTGTTCTTCTTTTCCGAGTAAACTCGTCGTAGGATTTTGTAAGCTGCAGGAAGTTCCAGATGCCTGTTGGTGGAGTTGGCATCGGAGAACTTCGCTTTGAGGGTCAGCTGTTCCGATTTGTGTTGCTCTGGTCTAAGATAGTAGCTCTCTGGAGATCGAAAGTATGCCCAGTTTCTCCAACGCGTGTTGCTAGTTGATAGTTAGCGTCTAATCTCCGAGTGGCCGATTTGTGTCCTTGTAGGCGAGTCTGCAATTTCCGCCCGGATTCTCCCGCATAGTTGCAGTCGCCCTCATTGTAATTTATTTTTTAGATGACTGCTGAGGTTTTAGTGGGTGGCAATGATTCCTTAGACAGCGTCAGACGGCGTCGAAGTTTTTTCCGTGGTTGGTGGGATATGCCTACTCTGGCAGGCTGTAATAGTCAAGAGAACGCTTCGGAGGCCCCTCTAACCTAGGGAATGCCCCAACAGACTTCGGGTCGTTGTTCATTTGGTCGTCGTCTGTGCGCCCGACGTCTTCTTCTCTCGATGAAATGTCTGCAAGAACCATTGGCTGCAAATAGGTTCTGAAGGTACAATCGTTCGGCCCTTTTATCTTCTGGCGTTCTGCAGTGTGTTTGAGCTCTTTGGAATAGAGTGCGGTCACAGCTAGGTTTGTGAGACAGAGAATGATTACTGTTGAAGTGTGGAATCTGTCTCGTGTCGGTGGATTTTCGGAATACTGTGGTTTGTTGTTGTCCGGTTGTACACAGGCGCTCAAGCACGTCAAGGAAGGGCAGTTGGTTGTTTGTTTCTGATTCTATCACAAATTGGATATCCGGATCAACCGAGTTCATTAGTTCCTTAAGGCGCTCAATTTCGGCCGTTTTGACAACGACAGAAATGTCATTGACATAGCAAGCCCAGAAGGTTGACTGATACGTGGTGAACACTAAAAGTTCGATTCGATGAAGAACTACTTTAGCGATTAGGCCCGATAGAGTGGAGCACATAGGATTGCCTGTTATTTGTTTGTACATGTGTCCACCAGTAGGTGAAGTGAAACACTCTCTTCATCATAAACTGGCTTCAAATGAAGACTAGCACGCGGGAACCAATGTTTCATTTTATGTGTGGCACGCGTAGACGGACACTTTAATGTTGGTAGTCAGCGTGTCCACGACTTCCTTTGTCCGTTTTCATTGCTAACATCTTACATTTTATCGGGTTCACTGAATGTTGGAGCCGAGCCCAGCTAAGAGAGCGGTGATGTGCCAAGTCGTCTGCGACGTCGAACTATCGTTCAGAGGAAACTTATTATCTCCTTATTCATAACAAACAAAACAACCTTGTCTCCCGATATCCTTCATTCTTCTTGCTTATGCATTTGTAACCATTGAAGGATACACGATCGCTGGGGCAAGAGTTTTATTAGCCTGGAATCTCGGATTCCTGTTCCAATACATCATCCGAGACAAGCAGATACGGGTGGTTCATGCACAAGGGGACGCAGTATTTATAGGACACAGTCTCCATTCTACTGCATACCTATGATTATTCACGGCACGCCCTTCACCAGGGATCGCTGCACGTGGTGTGATGCTCGGCAATCCGACGCGATGACCCTGGTGTTGGCCGAAATTCTCGCAAGACGTGACAACTGCGTAAGCCGGGAGTTGCATGAGTCATGGTTTACTGTCCCCCAGTCAATTAACAAGTGCAGTGATCTTCCCATTCCATACTCGATGCTGAGACTTCGCCTAGGCGCAGTAATTGGCCACGCGGGGAGCGCACAGGTGAACATTTTTCCCAACGCCAGGGTTGGTAGGTCAGATGGTCGAGCAATCATCACACCAACATCCAACGCACGTGATGAAATTGCAGGAATTAACGACGCGAATGTCGCTCATCACACCGCGTGCAACGATCCCTGGTGAAGGTCGTGCCGTGAATATTTATAGGTATGCGGTAGCATGGCTACTGCATCCTATAAATACTGCAGCCCCTTATGCATGAACCAACTGTATCTGCTTTGCCTCTGATGAAGGGTTCGAAGAGGAATCCGAAATGTCAGGCTAATAAAGCTCTTGTCCCAGCGATCGTGTCTCCTTATTCAAGTTCAACCATCTATTTCATCGACATCCATCGTGTCCTTCACAGCAGGGTAAGAGTAGGGACGGCGAGGTGCGCGTGAATTATAGTGTTTGCAGACTTGGGAAGCATCTGACGCACTCCCTCCCCCTACCCAACTGGGTCTGGCGTCAACATAGTGTCAAGAAAGCCGGAGGCAGAGGGGGTCGCAGCTGGCTGACGCGGCGATGACCTGCACCTCCTGTTAGATAACTGACAGTGATCAGGATTCTACACCACAACACAAGTGAAGGGGGTCGGCACGTATTCCTACCGGCGCTGCCTGATGCTGCAACTAGGCGTGTTGGCAAGTCCCCCGGATGTTGGCACTTTTTATGTGTGTGCATCACCGATGACACCTACTAGAATCCATTCTAGCCCCCATGTTAATCCCGAGCATTTACCGTGCAGGCCGATTTAGGGGCCTACGCGGCAAATCACTCCATCCCTCGCGACAACCCATCTGACGCGACTAAATCGTATCACGAGACGCGTAAAGTCGTGAACTTATAGTGTGCCAAATAACGGGCCAACTTGTTTCTTCTCAGGACTGGGGAGTCAAGGCGCGATGCCTTATTCTTAATGCGACGTCCCTGCAATGCTCACTGTGCGTGTCCACAGTGGTTAATCGCCTTGCGTGCACCGGTTAATGAACTAACGTGGGTGGTCGCTCATTTCGCATATTCATCTAATGGAGTACGTTCAGACAGCAATCAGTCCCAGCAATAGCGCACGACTTTTCTCAGTAAGCAACAGCCCCCTTACCATAGTTGGCAGTGATGCTACGCATTATTTTCGAGTTAATTCTCAATGGCAGGCCGTGAAGTTGGTTTGAACGCTCTCATACTAGAACTAGCAGTGTAACTAGCATTCAACTACAAAAAGCCATATAAAGCTTTATCTATATCACTGTTTTAATGCAACAAAAAGGGCCACTGAAAGGCACCTGCCTCTGTCGCTGAAAAGCCCGAATAAAAGAATGTGGGAAATGGGTTTTTGTTTATTTCCTACATATTGTATACATTGAGGTCGCCGTGGGTGACATAAGTGAGGAATGGCAAAAACTAGACTCGCTAAGAGCCAGCTGGGCCTCAATGAAGCGTCTACCGGCAAACACACCAGCTGATCCAATCCTCGTTGGAGATGGAAGTGGCTGGTTCGCTACCCTTCATAGATTACTCTTTAAACAGATAACCTGTTGGTTGCGTCCGAAGGGGCCTTCCATCGGACAAACGCGCGACATTTGAAAGTTTCCTGTCACGCCAACAAAACCAAAATCTAATTCGGTGCTTATTGCAAAGGGCTAGAATAATCAGATCGGTAGACAGCATCGGGAGGAAGCCTAGAAAGATTCAGGACTTGCATTATGAAAACGGGTAGCCTGACAGATTTATTACGAACAACTTTGCCGGCCGACCGGAACAACCCCCCACACCGGCTGCCGAAAAGAAAACGCTGTTCTTCAAAGCCCACTTTTCAAGGAGACGCTGCCAGTGAACTCTAAAGAAGCAACAAGAGTTCAAATATTTTTCTCAACTTACGTTACGCGAAAAAGGCAAAGATAGGTTGCCACCTCATGCCACCTTAATGTGTATCTACTTCTTCACTTACTTCTGTGGTACGGGTTATATTAGTCGCACCAGCCGGCGTCTACCCAAGGACTACGAGAACACCTCCCGGCATGGCTAGGAAAAGACGAAATTAGGAGTATAATTAGCGCATATTCTCGCACATGCTTTTGATTCCAAGGATCGAGTGAAACCCAGCGAAACGTCTCGTGCGAATTATAAGGTCTCCTAGAGCTTCACGTAGGTACTGAGTCAGTGTCTGTTAGCAACAGCAGAAGCTGCTGCAGTCAGGCTGTGAGAGCCGATCTTGTGTGGGCAGAAGAACCTTGTTCAGGCCGTGAGTTAACCGTGTCCAAAGATAGGCTAACTACTTTCTGCTCTTCGCTCCCATCCGCTCTCACCTCGCTTGTGTTTTTAAAATGAACTTTAATTTGTCTTACTAATCACTGATAGATTTGACTGACCTGGCAAGGATTTTCCAAAAGTAAGAGCATGCAGGTCAAGCAGTTGTCTAAATACTTTCACTTTTGCATTTCGTGTTTTCAACTGGAAAAGACGCAACATACTCGAAGACTGATGCGGAAATCGGTGAAGCGGAAAGATGAAAACAAAACATGGTGACATTTCAGTAGCAATTTCATTAAAACAGGGTAGCGTTACGCGTTATTGATAGGTGATGTTAACTGAAGTTAATAAATGTAACCCAAATCGGTAACTGCATAGAGAAGGACACCGCCTTACTGTCGGTAGACTGTGGATCGTGTCATACGTGATTGATGATAAGGGAAGTTTTACGGGTGTGGGGCAGCACACTAGACAGTGAGCTGACGAAATGCAGGAAAACATAGAAACTATTTGGATTTCTCCTGCAAAACCCATCGCACGCTTTCGTAAGACAAC